GAGATGCTGAGGCTCTGGGTGCGTCCCAGAAGACCCCCGGCGGCAGAGAGAGCAAGCTGGGACCGCGAGTGGTGGAGCAGGGGGCTGGGGCGTAGGCTGCCGAGAGCCAAATTGAGATGTGGGAGTCGTCAAATTTGCCTAGATGAATATTGAAGAGGGCATTTGCGGACGCTGTGTGGGAAATCAGCCGCCGACAATAGACTGCTAACCAGGAGAGGGAACATCCTGACCTCTCTCTGCAATTCGTCCAAGCATCAATCAGGCACTGATAGTTAAATAATGTACCACAGCGGGTTCACTCTGCAGAGACAGAATCAAACACGAGTGCAGAGTGAGAGGGAGCTAACTTTTATATTTCCTGAAGTTCCCCAGACGTTTAGACTGGGGGATTGCTAACTATCCTGCCCACAGATATCAGAGTAATGACCTCATTCTGCCTTCTGACATTTAGATGTCTTTGTTAAGGAAGTTGTTCGAAAGTCAACCTTTTTAGTCAGATACATCAAGGCTCGCTAACCTTCACATAATGCATAACTGAACCTTGTTCTGTGGAAGGCCCCGAGCTCCTTGTGGCATTGAGCCTATCAGCCAAGAAGTTGATCAGAAAAATACCTCACACAATTGCAGTAATCCCCTACGCGCTTGCTGTTGGGTTTGGTAGAGCTTGAACGGTCTCTCGCTCTCTCCCTCGTATTTCAGCCTGCACTAATCGTGAATGATTCCCTCTGTCTTTAGCTCCAATGCCAGGGCCGGTGAATCAGGTACATAAGCCTAAGCTGCTTGGAGAGGTAGTCTTATTAAACTCTAGCCAGCTGCTGGAATTTTTCTTCCCCCTCTCATTGTTAATTGGGGAGTCTTGAGTCTTTCCCGGGAGTTGATTTGCAAGAGAAAGAAAAAGGGAGCAAGAGATTATTGCACAGGAGGAGAGGAGCTTTGAAGAAGTGTTTTGTGATTTCACCGCATATCCTCCACTCCTCTTCTCCTTGTTCGCTCTCCATGTGCTCCCCAGCCAAAACGTGTTTGTGCCACTGACAAACAGCGCTTTGAGAAGTTCGAAGGTGGAATACAGCGCATGTCTGGCTTTGGCTCAGAGGTACAAGAACACCCCTTCTGATATTTTGAGCTTTTAGAAAAAGTGGTAACTGGGGATGGGGGAAACTATGGTGCGCAATGGCCCTTTGTACAACATGCATGTCCCAACTTTGGAGACTCTGACTGAGTTCAGGCCGGAAGGCGAATCAGACGGTTGGGAGTGAGGGACCGATTGGCATGTGGAGGAACAACAGTCCTCGTTCTTAACCTGCGCCTCTAGAAAATGCCTTCAAAAACAACAAGCTGAGCGTTTTGTTTCACTTGCTGTTTCTTTGAATTGGCTGGGCATCCTTAACTTTAGCCCCCCTCTTGTCCCAGGGCCCAGTTCTAAGAGGTACTGGCCCCACTCCATATCTCATTATCTCTTTCAAAATTTCATTTTGTCATTGCATCCACGCTGTCTTTTATACTGCCATATTAAAGGCCATGCATAGGGTTTTCTTGAAAGGTATTTGAACCAGAATCCTACAATAGACACCCCAGACAAGAGGAAAAAAGGGAGAAACCTGGGTTTTAGGATTTAATGAGCGGCTTGCTGGGGGTGAAAGAAGGATAGAAACCAAGTGAGTGAGAGCAATACAGAGTGCATTTGTAGAGGGTCAGAGAGAGAGAGAGAGAAGGAGGAGAAAGAGTAGTAAGGGAGGAAGAATGCAGGAATGGAGCACCAGGTACCATTATAGTGGCAGAGAAAGCTCCTGAAATACTAGAGCTGGGGCGTGTGCTCTGATCAGGACGGCAGTGAGCACAATTACCTTCTTTTCAAATCCTTCAGTGACACTGCGGGAGGAAGGAGGACTTTGAAACTTGAAAGGCAGGAGCTCGCTTTCAACCTCAAACGCGAGCAGGAAAGGGCTCTGAAATTTGTTCAGTGCTCCCCATCCACCATTAGCTTGTTTCTTCCTCTCGCCTCCAGGCATTTAAGCGCTTTTTGAAAAGATGTTAAGAAATTCAATCACCATAGAGAGAGCGGGATAGTTCTTTTTTCTGTTTTTTTGAGAGGCATGCTTTTCCTCTGGTCCACAGAGGACCGGCCTGCTGCTTTTGTGTTGGGCTGAATAGACCTGCAAACTGGTAGAGGACTGGATGCGGCAACCATGGGAAAAGAGAGGGAAATAAAAGAGGAATGAAAAATGAGGGAGGGAAAAGGGGAAAGGGTCTGCTGGGCTGATGGTCAGAGTTGGAGAAGTGTTGCAGGGTTGAACTTTTCAAAGTTGCATGTGTTTACCTGTGTCTTCTCTGTCTTCATTACCTCATTTCTTGACAGATGCTCAACACGTTAGAAGGATGTAAAAAGTTTCCACTCGCCAGGTACAAGCAGCATAGAAGAAAAACCTTACCAGAGACTCGCTTTCCTCCACTGAGGAGTCAAGGAGTCAATTGACCCTTGTGCTGCAGAGTGTTTGTTTAACTCTTTAAGGTCCTATGAACTGATGTAATGAACTCCCTCTAGGTGGTATATGGTAGAATGATGAAACCCACCCAGGGCTTGCTGGGGTGACTGGAGGGGGGATGGTGGTACTGTGACAGTGCTGTGATTGAACTATTAGTCGCTTGACCTCCCTTTAGGGAGAAAGACACATCTGAATAGCGGTGGGGGTCACCGAGAAAGTAAAAGGAAAGAAAAAGACAGAACACGAAAGATTGAGGACAAGAAGAGTAGTGCTCACTGAAATAGTTGGCAAATAGAAATGTAAAGTATAGATTAAAAAAAAAAAAAAGTAAACGCTTGAGTCTCCTTTGTAGTTTTTCATAACTTCACGCTACACCATGTCAAGCCCCAGTGATGAATGTATTTATAAAACATCAAATATATGTATGAAAGTACAAAAACAAGCTCATGAATATGTAGAAAGTTTCTACTTTCCCAGATGTAATGCTAGATTTTTCTGGATGTTAAAGAATTGAGCGTGCACAGTAGGAGCCGGAGCTGCACACAGCCACACGCTCTGCCCTTAGCATCGCTCGCTCCCCGCATAGTTTACAGTCTCGACTTCCTCAATTCATGTCAGGAGATGAACCCAATTCTGAAATCCCTTTATGTTAATATTGCGCTTTGCAAGCGCAGACCTATTAATCCAGCTTTAACCGTATAAGTTGCATTATTCCCTTAATAAGATCACTGGCTGTGCAGTATAGGATTAAATACTTATATCATAACTGACACTGTCATTTCCCGGGGATGAGAGCGCCTTGCTTCTCTGGTTGTCAGCTCCGCGTTAAGAATCCTTGAAACTGCTGCCAGTGCTGCACGAGGGCACGCTGGTCCAAACGCAGGTAATGGATGTGGGAGAGTGAAGGGAATAAAAGCAGGACCCTTGGGTTGCTCCTCCTGCTCTCTCGCTCTCTTCGCCTCTCTCAATCTCATTCTCCCTCTCTGTTTTTCTCTCTTAACCTCCTCCTTTCTGATCGCTTCTCTTCTTCTGTGAAGTGCTACAGCTCTATAGCAGCACTCTTCAGTGCTTAAGGTAGTGCGCTCTTTAATCTGGCCCTCGCCTCTGTTTCTTAATTGGCAGTTGGATGCTGTTGGGTTGCGGCACATAGTGGGGGAGCTGCTCACGCTGTTAGGCTGCTAATACTGCAGTACCTCTGGCGCCAGCACAACGGTATTTTGCCAGGTTCCCGGTGAGAAGCGTTAATACAAGAAAGAACATTGGAGTGTACTGATGACCAGCAGCCTTAGTGGTGAACTCATAATTGCATATAACCCGGGCTGAACATGGAGACCTGCGGGCAACACAAGCTGGAACTGAAGGATTTGGCTCAGGGCAAAAAAGCAAGGGCTTGCTCTTGACAAATGATGATTCTTCTGAATCTATAACATACAGATGTCTCAGTTCAAAGCAAAACCTAAGAAAGTACCCAAGTCCCTAAGATCACGTGTTATTGAAGATCATTTGGAATTCATGTTTTGACCCTTTTGATAGTGCAAAATGTCAAAATATATATAAACAAAAATAATGCTTAAAATAGGCCACGTACAAACAATCACTCTTTTAAGGTCTGGCCTGCCTATCTAGTTAGCATGTCACCAGTGATTTTGCAGAATTTCCCACAAACACATTAAAGTGCTGTTCACTAAAATATCCCAGTTCAGTCTGCCCCTGAGCATCATGACGTCCGGGCCTAAATCATCAGGCAGGATTTACGTCCTCCTGTTTTAAAGATTAAATCAACCCAGTTGAAAAAAAATGACATACTTTTGATGGCATGTTTCTTTCTGAGTTAGTCTCTGTGGTATCAGACTACAGAAAGAGCTAATGCCAGGTCACGAGGATAACTGACCCTTATATATGTCATCTCAGAGGTCAAGCCAAGGGGTCAGAGGTCAGGTCTTTCTGGTGGAGCTTAGCCCTTGAACTCAGCTCCACATTTATCCGCTTTATACAGCATGCCAAGCAGCTTTCTCCAGAGGGCCTCCTAATTTCCCCCTTAGACACAGATAGAAAAAGAGAAAAAGATTTAGTTTAAGAGTGAAAGGTGGGGGTTGGTTGGAGACTGAAGCAGGGTGGGGTTGGTGTAGCCAATGATGCTTGCTAACGGGCATCTTTGAATGCTGACTGAACGCCTGAGTTGTTTTCTTCATGAGAATTTATTTTTATATAAAAAGAGAAGACAGATGTGAATTTAAACACTTGTTCAGATGTTTGGAATTTTTTCCTCCATGGTGTCCGTTTGCTCATACGCTGACTGCTTCTGAACTCTCATATCCAGGGGCTGAAGGAAGGCAGATTTACCGTAGGTTTCAGGTGTGCAAAGCAGCTCCTCCTTTTATGAGCTCCCCCACTACACGAGCAGCATTCATAGCTACAGCTTTTATTCTGATATCTGTTTAAAAGAAAAATGTGTTGCCCTTCCAAATTTATAACACTGGATGCTTCTCCTGTCTTTCTGTCTTCATGTCCACGCAGAGGACGAGAGTTCAGGCACGCCTTACCACCGTGAGAGGCGCAACGCCATCAGCTCTCAGGTCCCGACGCCTGGCGCCCCTGACAGAAGCATAAATGAGGAGCCCTCTACGTCTACGGAGGAACGCCCTTCCTTGCTCAAGAAGGAGCAGCACGGTTCCCTGCCACATCTGGCTGACCATGCACTTCCATACCGGGGCACGCTGTTTGCAATGGACCCCCGCAACGGCTACCTAGACTCGCACTATCGTAAGTCCGCGAGCCACAAACACAAGAGCCGCTCACTTCATTTTAAAATGGTAAACTTGAAACTTTAACGTGTAAAGTTGAGAAGCTACACAGCTCAAGGACATGCTTGCAGAACCCATAATGCTGAAGCCAAGTTTCCCTTTTTTACTGTAGGTGAGAGGCAGGGCCGCCAGATGCTTGATTAAGTCTGACAGATTAGCCCTTCTCTTACACTCCGTCTCTCCTCTGCACACAGATACAGGCACACACACTTGTGAACGCACGCACGCACTCTCGCCTTGTGTTGCGCTTGGGAAGTTAGTATGGGGAACGGCCAGCGTAGCTTCTTAATTCCCTCATTAGGGGCCTGTCTGAACACAGTACTCCGCTTTCTCTCATCAACACACACTTCAAAGCCCAAAAGCAACGCAGAGTCAAACCTCACCACCCCCTACTCTGCCTCTCGGTCTCTCTGGGACTCAGAGACTGTATGAGAGAAAGGCAGAGGAAGACACAGAGAGGGAGAGAGTGCGAGAGAGACTCACAGAGACAAAGCCCGAGAGAATCGGGTGAAGGAAGGAAGCTGGCAAAGATAATTCCAAGAAAAGGTGAGACACATAGCGGCGGTTAAGTAAAAGAAACGCTGGAGAAGGGTGTTTGGAGAGCAAAGGGGCTGATTTGGAAGTTAATCTGGTGGCCAGGACTTTAACTGCAGACAAGGATTTGATGTGATAGCTTGTTTAGTTTGGTTATACTGGCGCTGAAAGGGAGCAGGAGGAGTGCGCCAGAAGGATTTTAATCCAGCGGCAGTAATGAAAGTCCAGTGGACCCCAACCTTATACTGTAACTCTATTTATTCAGCCACTTCATTAACTGCTTCTCCATCGTGGTTGGGTGCCTGAGAGTCATCAAGGTGCCTCTTTAAGGTAAAGGTTACTTAAAACCAGGCAGTTCTCTGGACAGAACCCTCGAGGGCAGAACATTACTGCCCATTACATCCTGACCTAACTCAGCAACACTGCCACTTCTCATTTTATGTATGTGTGTGGGTATGTGTGAAGGAACTCTGGTGGTTCCAGACCACTGAAGCCTTGGGGTAGGAGTCAGGAAGGTTGGAGGGGTGGGGGTTGGGGGGAGGGGGTTAAGTCTGAGGCTTGGGGTCATGTGGAAAAGTCACAGTCTTGAAATGGAGAGTTCAAAAGCAGCAGGAAAAGTCAAAAGGGCTGTAGAGCTTCAAGAGGAATTCTTCGTGCACGAGGACTCGAGAGGGTGGAAGACTGCAGACGTATGGAGCAGACAGGAGTAGAGGACTGTGATAGCAGTGATGCAGGGATGTGTAGGCACGTGTAGGCATGATGCACAGACATCTGCAGCAAGGTTCTTGCAGTTTTTGGTTTTTCAAGACAAGGATTTACTATGTTTCTCTCTTTTCTGGTGTCGACCAGGAAAAACAAACAATTTACATATCATGCTGGGATCTGCCAAATTATCACAGGCATGATGAAAATATTAATAAACTAAGAAAAACAACACAAACATTTAAGAATTACACAAAAAGTTGATTCCCGGTGTTCAGGGAAGAATGAAAACACCAACAAGATCGGTGTCAGTGACTTCTGGTGTTTTTCATTGATGTTTCTATGATCTCTCCTTCGCTCAGGAAGACTTATGATTTGAGATGAGAGCATTGCTGTGTAAAACACCTCCTTCTGGCCCCAGGTGTTGAGGACATGGGGAGTTCCTAAAGGCAGCGGTCCCATTCTGTCTGATTGAACCCAGTACCAGAGCTCAATCCCCACGAGCTCTGACGATCTGAGGGTCAGCAGATCGAAAGGGGTCCCCCTTAAACCTTTGCCGCCCCCTCCCAACCCCTGCTCTTCGGCTGCTTTGAACCAGGAGCCTAT